TCTGGATATTAGGGCTCTATCTGAAGTGTGAGGGGTAAAAATTTGTTCCCAGAATGTAGGCTCTCTATTTACCTCTCTTATTGTTTCTCTTGCTGAGAAAAAACTTTTTAGTTTAAGTAAGTCTCATTTGTTTATTCTTGTTATTAACTCTTGGGCTATGGGCGTCCTATTAAGGAATTTGGAGCCCAACCCCTAGTAAAGTTTCTTGATAGCTATGTGTACACCCTACTCAACACGATGCCAGAAATTCCCCCGAATGTCTGTCTTCCTCAGGATTTATCTTGATATCTGTGACTTGTTTACTTTCTACCAATTTATAATTGTTTATATGTTGGCTATCTTTCTTTTATGGAGTCCTTGAGAAAAAAAAATGTTATGTTGGTATTCCTCACTTTCAAATATTAATATATTTTTAATATTTTTTTTACTGGTACATACTGTTCACATCTATATTTTAAGTTTGGAAATGCATATTTGCAGATATGCATTCTGGTTCCCAAAGTGCTGGGTTCAATCCTCAATATAAAAGTATTCATAATCTCTGAAAATTATGAAAACATCCCTGCTACCAATACATTTCTAAATACAAAACTGACTACCATATTTGTTATTTTAAATTTTTAATTGAATAAATAACTGAACTGGTAATATTGTAGCAACATTTTTTAAAGATAGAAATCTTGAAAAATTAGGCAAAGATTAAAAACAAATTCATAGATTTGCTGCAACATAATGGAAAAAAAACCCCCAAGAACCCCAGACTTCTTAGCTTTTGATGTAGGTTTATAGACTTTAATCAGACATTAAATGGAATATGTATATATTGTAGAGGAGGAAGGAAGACTCACTGGTTTAGAAGTGTCAAGAATATTCTCATGGTATTATAACATTTTTTGTACATTGTCAGAAAATTTCTTTCTTACAGTGTGTTAATATAGTTTTAGTAACACTGTACTATTATAATGTGGTTATACAATCTCACTCTGGTTTATGAGAGTATTTTAATTTTTTAAAGTATATTTCATCAGATAGAAAGGAGAGTCAATGTTTAATTCCTGAGTTAATTTATGATCACAACAAAAACAAATGATTAAGGCAGGCTTGACCACCAGGTATTAAAGTTATTTGTCATATTGAAATCTTAAAATGCATTTAACCCAGCTATCCCTTTCCTCAGTCTATGCCCAACGGACTTAAAAACAGCATACTACAGGGACATAGCCACATCAATGTTTATAGTAACACAATTCACAATATCTAAACTATGAAACCAACCTAGATGCCCTTCATTAGAGGAATGGATTAAAAAATGTGGCATATACACAATGGAATATTACTCAGCAATAAAATAGAATAAAATCATGGCATTTGCAGGTAAATGGATGGAGTAGGAAAAGATGATGCAAAGTAAAGTTAGCCAATCTCAAAAAGACAAATGCCGAATATTTTCTCTGTTATAAGGTGACTGACTCATAGTGGGGGTGGGGGAGAGCATGGGAGGAATAGAGGAACTCCAGATAGGGCAGAGGGTGGTAGAGTAAGGGAGGGGGCAGGGGGTTAGCAATGATGTTGGAATGTGATAGACATCATTATCCAAAGTACATGTATGAAGACATGAATTGGTGTCAACATACTTTATATACAACAGAGATATGAAAAATTGTGCTCTTATGTGTAATAAGAATTGTAATGCATTTTACTGTCAAGTATTTAAATAAATAAATAAATAAATAAATAAATTTATTTAAATAAATAAAATCAATTAAAAAATAAAAATAAAAATATCAATGTAAAAAGTGCATTTTAATTTGTTATTTCAAATGAACTTATATTAGGGGAAAAAAGGTCAACATAAAATTAAAAACATTTTTGTTTTGTTACAGGCAGCTGTTAAATCTAAGAAAGCTACAGATACGTATAAACTCTATGTGGAAAAATATGCATTAGCAAAAGCTGATTTTGAACAGAAAATGACAGAAACAGCCCAGGTTGGTATTTTTAAGGCTTTAAGTTAAAAACAGGATACTTTGTAGGGCTGGGGTTGTGGCTCAGTGGTAGAGTGCTCACCTAGCACATGGGAAGTGCTGGGTTCAATCCTCAGCACCACATAAAAATGAAGAAATAAAATAAAGGTATATATATATAAACCCAACAAGATAATTGTATTTGTGTGTACTAATTAGTAGAATTTTTCTGCTATATAATTTCTTGGTATTAGAAATTTTAAATTTTCAGTGTTTTGGTAATGCTGTTTAAAATATTTGCATCATGTTTGGAAGGTGAGATAGAGGACCAAGATACAGTACTAAAAATGTCATAAAAATTATTCAGATGGTTCAGAAGAGGCTGTTTAAAGATAATTAGGGAAAATGAAGGCATTGGTACATGATGTAGACAATGACTTGTGTGTGGATTTTAAGATTTACTTAAGAAACATGGAAAGACTCAGTATTGAGGATAATGCAGTCAGTGAAATAATGAAAAAACCCCTCTTCTATAGCACTTACATTTTAGTGGGGGAAAAGACAATAAAATGTCTCTTCCATAATCTTGAGATAAATTATACAGTTTGGTGTTCTTAGAGCCATAATTAAAGGCTTAGTTTAAGGTAGATGCCCTTTATGAGTCCTTCCTAATATTTCCACTTCCATCCTTCTTATCCTTTTGTTTTATTTTCCTCATTAGCACCTATCACCATCCAAGATACAATGAATTTCACTTCTATCAGTCAGGTCAGATTAGGTATGCTAAGATGACAGAGAAACCCACAAATCTCAGTAGTTTGCAATATCAGGTTTTCTCGAATGCATTCCACACGGGTGATGGAAATGTGGTTCCCCTCCGTAGAATGGGCTGGCTGCAAAATAAAAGCTAAGAAAAATAGAATGATGAAAAAAAAAAATAGGACACAGAAAATATTATCAGAAAGCAGGGGTTTAGTACACAGCTTGAGCTTGTGTACTAAAAAGATGAAATGCAACCTGTGTTTGCTTTCTTTATATCGGGGAACATTAAAGGCCTTCCATAGAATGTTCTTCACCAAAAAAAAAAAAAAAAAGGTTATAGGTAGGCTGTCCAGTTCCCAACAGGTTACGCCCATCTCTGGAGCTACTATGAGGGATCTTCCTAGTAGAGTGCAGATAAAGGTCAGGTTCCTTGGGAAATCTATGTTGTGGGAGAGCCACACATAGTTCCCAAGGTTAAACCTAAAATCTCCCTGGCTGCCATACTGAGAGAAAACCCCCAAGTAATTCATTGGTGGCTTCCAGCAGGGTTTATTTTTTTTTTTTATCATGCAGCATGTTTATCATAGTGGACTACAGCTCTGATACTGAGGCTAGAGGTTAGAACCTCTGAAAAGCAATGACTAATAAAAAGCTATTTTCATTAAAATGGTTTAGTCATAACTGAGAGACTGTAAACATAGAGAAGATCATTGGCTTCTTATTTATTTATTTTTCTTTTGGCAGTATTGGGAACTGAACCCTGCAATGCTCTACCACTGAGCTAATGTCCCAAGCCCTTATTATTTTTATTCTAAAACAGGATCTTAAGTTACTGAGGCTGGCCTCAATCTCACAGTCCTGCATCATCCCTCCATGTCTCTGGGATTATAGGCATGCACCACCTTGTCAGGCTATTTATTTTATATTGTCTGTTGTTCCTCACTAAAATGTAAGTTCTCTAAGAACAGGAATTGACTTATTTTTTATATTGTTATATCCTCAGTATTTAAAATAGATCCCAGCTCATGGTGGGTATATAGTAAGTATGAAAGTATTTTGTAAGTCTGTTATTTTGGACTCTTAATTTTTTGTCCTCTCACTAGAAGAAATGCATGACTCACATCTTAGAAACCAATAGACTTGCATGTAGGCATCCCTCTTTATCATTTTGTAGGTATTGTCCTAAATGCTGGATGTATGCAGTATACATGTAAATAACTCTGCTTAGATAAAGTTTCTAGTATAGAATATGGAGGCAAACATTAAATACATGCTTAAGTTGATAAATAATTGTAAATGTTAAAAGTGAAAAGAATAGGTTTCCATAAGATAGAATAATAGGAATGACCTAATTTGGGTTAGGAAGTCACTTTGGAGAAGTGACATTTAAAATTGAGACTTGAAGAAAGGTAAGAGACTAATAGTACAAGAGTGTTTCAAGATTCGGATATGAAGACTTAGAGGTGTAAAAGAAATAATGCATTCAGGAAAGTAAAAAATACATACTAAAATTGAGGAGATGGTGGAGAGAAATGCAGTTGAAGAGTGAAGTCCAGGACTGGGTTTTAGTAAGGATTTACATTTTCTTCTAAGAGTATCTGGAAATCTACTAAGGGTTTTAGGAGAGGATATGACATTATCTTCTGATCTGTATTTTTAAAGATAATTCTGTCAGTTTTGTGTAGGATTATAGTATCACCAAAGGACATTGTCCAGTATAGAAGGCAGTATATATAATATGTGAGAAGGATGATATCTAGAGTGGTGGTCTTGGAGAAGGAGAAAAGTGAATACCTTGAAAGTGGCAAAATAGGTAGAGAAATTTTGAGAAAAATAAGATTACTTTCAAATTTTGGCTTGCAATTCTCTGTGGATAGAGAGGATTGGGAAAGACTAGATGAAGAACTCTTAGTTTGATGGGCAAAGAGATCAGATATTTAGTTTTGAACAGGTTAATTTTGAGATACCTTTGAGATAACCCAGATGGAGACATCAAGTAGTCAGTTTTGGAAGGGCTAAGGAATCTGAATTGGATTTAATATCCACAGTCTTTTATACACAATTGTGAATCCCCAAAGCTCTGAGAAGAAAAAAGTTGTTTTTTCTTTTGGTAACTTATTTGGTAGCAAAATGTGACCTGAACCAACGCAAAGATGTTCATAGTCTTATTTGTCTTATTTAGACCAAATATACATATATTTTCCTTTAGAAATATTAATGTGTTTGACAAAAAATTGCTGCTTTAACTCCTGATGATGGTAGTCTAAAACATGAGGTATTTTTATAATGCATGCATTTTTATTTTTTAAAAATCCAAAAAATTAGAATGCTAAACCTCATCTGGTACTGAAGATGAGGTTATAAGCCTCTGTAAAGCAGTATTGTCAGTATACAAAGCCAGTTCAATAAAGTTCATTTATTTGTACTTAACACTTGACTATCCTTATTTCCTGTTGATGAATTGCTCTGAGTTTAGTAGTCACTAATTTTGAGAAATTATGGTAGTTAGCAGTATTCCTTACCCTCCAAATAACAAAATTTTAAAATTGCATTTGAATTGTGCTTTGAATTTCTGTATAGATTCATGCCTCAAATGTTTCTAAATAATTAAGAAAGTACTTTATTTAGTATAGTGTAATATTTCAAAAAGGGAATGAAAATAAAAGAGGGAGAGGAATCCATGTCAACACACATGCAAATCCAAGACCTCTGAAAACATGAAGAAATGAGCAAATAAATCTCTTGCCAAAATTTATAGTACCCCAACAAAGGAATCAACAAGATATGAAAGTGGATGAAATTCCAGATAAAGACTATAATAAACTAATTATTAAAATGTTCAATGAGCTAAAAGAAGATCTAAAGAATAAATCAAGGGAAGAAATAATAGGAGGTGAAAGACTATTTCAATAAGGAAATTGAGTTGATTTCCAGGATTTTTGGAAGGGAAAGTCACAATGAATAAAATTAAAAATTATCTTGAAAGTATCACCAGCAGATTAGATTACATAGAAAATAGAACTTCAGACCTTGAAGACAGAACTACTTCTTGAAGACTGACCTTAAAGACAGGGAATATGAACTTGAATAGTTAGTATGCAGTTAAAAAAAAGACCACAATTGGAATATACAAAAATTCTGGGAAAACATCAATAGAGCAAACTTGAGAATTATTGGGATAGAAGAAAATGTAGAGTACAGGATAAAGGTATTAAGAATCTTTTCAGTTAAATAATAGCAGAAATATTTTTCCTGACAATAGAAATGAGATGGACATCCACATATAGGAGTCATATAGCACACTAAATAAAGATCAAAAAAGATTCTTCCCAAGACACATCATATTCAAAATGCATAGTATAGAAAGTTAGGAAAGAATATTAAAAGCTGCAAGATAAAAAGGTCACATTTAGAGGTAGGTCAATAAGGCTCACTTCTGACTTCTCAGATCAGACTCTAAAATCCAAGAGGGCTTGGAATGAGAAGTTTCAAGCTTTAAAAGAAAATAGTTGAGAGCCAAGAGAGCTGTATGTAGCAAAGTTGTCTTTTAGAATCAAAGAAGGAATAAAAACTTCCATGATCAGGATAAGCTAAAAGAATTTATGACCACTAAATGACAACTACAAAATACTTATAGATATACTACACACAGAACTCAAAAAACAAATTCCAAACAAATTCTAGAACCTATCTAGAAGAATAACTAAGCAAATGGAAATAAGACCAAATTATACCTAGCAAAGAAGCCAAAATGGCAACAAATAACAAATATCTACCCATAAAAACACTGTATATAAATGATCTCAGCTTCCCAAGTAAAAGACAGATTGGCAGAATGGATTAAAACAAGATCCAAGTAGATGCTGTTTGCAAGAGACTCATCTCATAGGCAAAGACATCCACAGACTGAAAATGAAAGAATGGAAAAAATATTCTATGTAAGTGAAGTCCAAAAACAAGGAGGAGAAGCTATTCTCAATCCAACAAAAGCAGACTTCAAGCAAAAATTAATCAGAAAACACAAAGTCACTACATCCTGGAAAGCAAACACTCCAACTGGAATATATGATGACAGTAAATATTTGTGCCTCAAATGGCAGTTCACCTAATTTCATTAAAAATACTTCTTAACAATAAATCCCATATAGACCCAAGTACAAAAATATGGGATGGTTTCAACAAAGCCCTTGCACCAACTGGACATTCAACATAAAAATCAATAAAAATATTTCCAGTCTAAATAATACTATAAATCAACTGGA